GTGGGACGGAATTTCCGCAGACGGGAAATGCAAGGTGTCTAGAAGAACTGGGCTAAGTTTATAAATGGTAATTGCTTAAATGAAATATACATATTTTTTATTAAGTCCGTTACTCGAAGAGTAAGTTGGGTTTTTTTTGTTTGATAAGTCTGCAGAACTCTAGAAAATATACATACACATAATTTGTCAATTTATAAGGCGGTATATGTGTATTTGGCCAAAATCTACCCACACTTCAAAAATCTTCCAATTCGAACTATTATTTAGAAATTTATTAGGAAAGTTTCAATTATGACGTCACTGCATATTTGAAAACGGAGCACATAAAATAAACATTTGAGAGAGCGAAATATCTGTTAGTGTTGTGCATGCAGTTCGGCAGATGGCGCCACACGATTCTTTTCTAGGAACATATTTATTTTAAAATTGATGAGCTGGGTAAAGGGTACTCTTTAATGGCTTGAAAACTAAACACCTTAATTGGAAAATCATAATTATTATATTTCATTAACGAGGCATTCGACTATACCGTTGTTTCTTGTTTTTTTTTTTCTTTGCAGGCATGTCGCCGGAGGACGAGTGGTACAACAAGAGTTTGTCCGCCCTGCGGATGAACTCGTCGCATCATCCCAACCTGTCAGCCCCAATGCTGCAATACCAGACATAATCAAAAACCTTTGACGACTTCTTTTAAAAGATCGCACCTCAACCGCCTTAATCGCGGGCCGTTGATGTGCGCTGTTTTAAGGGAGAGTGCGTCAAAGTCAAACCTTATCCTGTAACATCCACAAGCTTCTCTGTCTATATCTATGCATATATCGCTGTATATATGTACATAGTATATATACGAGTGTGTGTCAGTCAGTCATTAGTCTCCGGTCTCCAGTCTCCAGTCGCCAGTCGTCAGCCCCAGGACGCGGGTGGTATCATCATCCCGTGATGATTCGGACTTGTCCGATTCGTTTTGAGTTGCGGAACCGAGTTTGAAATCGTTCATGGTCGCTTTCAGCTCTGGGCGGGATTTACTCATAAGACTTGTTGATATTATTATGTGGTTTTTTTCAATATATATATTTTTTTTTGGACAAACAAGATCCAAATCGAATAAGAGGGGCAAGAGTCAGAGGTAAACAAATAGAGGAGAAAAATATTGTAATAGGCAACTAGTCATAGTATCTAAGCAAATTGTGTATTGAGATTTTATCGTGGCATTATAAAAAGTAAAATAAAAGAGCATAAATCGTGCATATATATATATATATATATATATATATATAAATCTAAATAAATACATATATACTAAAGTATGTACTAGCAATAGCATAAGTCAGGTTGCTTAGACCCGCCCCCAATCTGATCCGATCAGATATACTTCTAGCCCCTAGCTCCCAGCTCCTAATTCCAAAATCCCGACCCAATGCAACTCTTTGGTTGCTTTGACCGACTTTTCATTGCCTGCTCACTACTCATTAAATATAGCTTACTCAAACATACGAAGTACATAAACTCCTCCACCCATCTGACCGTTCATAAAAAATCGGAATGCACAGAAATCCAGAGCAAGCATCATCCGCAAGCCAAACCCAAACGACTAAAACTACAAAACTTTCTAACTAATTCAAGGTGTGTCGAACTAATTATAAGATGATTTTTTTTAGCTAAGCAATGCATTAACGAGTTATATTTAATAATAATACTAAACAAAACAAAACAAAACAAAACAAAAAAAAAAAAAACAAAAACAAAAAAACCAAACTGAAACCAATAAAATACATCACCTATATATATTTAAATACGAAAAAAAAAACAACAAGCCAAATGAAAACTACAAGACGCATGTTTAACAAATTATGCCAGACACAGCAAGAATGGAAATAATAAAAATATTAAAAACAAGGTTGACAAGCATTTTATTATTGAAAAATAACAAGGGCTCTTCAGCTTTTTGTGTGTTCTCTAAGTGGAAAGCAAAAAAAATTCTTATATTTTTGAAATCTCAATACATAGAGTCGTCCGAACTTAATAAACTGCCAAATTTTCTCCTCAAATCAAATAAAAATATTTATGTGTCATCATGCTTACAATGACACACTTGGCCAACGGGCCCGAGCTTTGCCCAAAAGTCTGTTTAATTAGTTGAGAAAATTAATAAAATAATTTTGGGGCCCTTTTTAATAAACATATAGCTAATGTATGCCAAAATTTCAAAGAATTTCATTGCTTGATCTTTTTTTTGCATATTCTTAAAGATAAAATTGCATGCAAAATTAAATAAAAAGTAAAAAAATCAAGTGAAGTCATTTCAATGACCAAAATGATTAAAATATCAAGCAAAAAATATAATTAAGCCTGCTTTCTTACTTGTTTATAAAATATCGACAAAATCTTTAAAGAATCATGCATTTATTCGTTATGGGATACTTTGCTTTAGAATTAGTTTCGGGAACCTTTTGGAATTGAAAAGATTCCTTGAAAAATAAATTCTAAGATTACCTACGAAAATCACCCGCAGATATTGCGCGGTTTTGCTTTAGTTTTAAGAAGTTTTAGAAGCATTGAGAAGTTTGAGAAGTCTAGTGCAACTCACTGCAGCCCAAAAGTATGCTGCATTTCTTATATCTTCTTAAAACATTGATCCATACACTGAAGGGCACTTATGACGACATCATAAATCATTTGAAATATTTAAAAAATAGATACTTTTTTTTAAACATGATGCAGACGCTCAGATGAAACAAAAAATATATATACATTTTATTGGGATCGATTTCTTTACTAATAGACACCAAAAAATGGCAGTTTTTAAATTTGATAAGCCTTTAGCCACTTAATACTTTTTAGTGGTTTGAGAAATTTTTGATTTGTTGTTAAATGTGTGTCAAAACGAATTGAAGCCGTTTCCTACTTTTTTCTTCTAAAAATTAAATATACTAAAATTATAAAAATTTTCCGACTTTGGTTTGGAATAACTATATCTTCTAAGAATCCTTAACGTTTTATTTTTAGTTTGTTGAAAAGTACAATCTTTTAAGAAGATAATCTGCTTTAGTTTAGCTTTCTAGCTGTACAGGGAAAAAGTGTCAGACTTTTGGCCTAAAAATTAGATTTCTGGCCCAATGTGTAATGGATATTTTGTTTTTAGATAACTATTTATCTCTAATCTATTATCGATAATCTATGTTAAGGGTTCATATAGCCTTTTTGTGTTGTGTAAAAAATATTATTTTGGTGTTTTGTTATGTCTAAGTACATGATTGCATTAAAAAATTTAATTTAAAGTTTCTTCTTCAATAATTTTTGAAAACTCTTGAACTAGGACAATTTAGGTCCCAAAAAAATGAAACGCATCCGGTGGACATCATAAAACAAATAAATATTTAAACAAGAAAGAAAGTAAACTTCGGCAAGCCGAAGCTTAAATACCCTTGCAGCTATTGCAAGAACTATATATTTTTTAAAACATTAAAATTATGATTTACTTGTTTATGTGTTTAAAAACATTGAAGCTATGATGATTCGCAACTCAATTATTAAATAGTTTTTTATATATTTTTATTATTTCTATGGAAGCTATATGATATAGTCGTCCGATTTTGATAAAATTTAAACCGTAATTCTAAAATATTTAACCATTACTATATGTCGAAGAACTAAAAAAAAATTAAAAAACAGCAAAGATATAATTTTTTTTGTATTTTTTTTCCGATTGCTCCTATGGGACCTATATGATATAGTCGTCCGATTTTGATGAAACGTAAACCGTAATTCTGAAATATTTAACCATTACTATATGTCGAAGAACTAAAAAAAAAATTAAAAAACAGCAAAGTATTATTTTTTTTTTTATTTTTTTTTTCGATTGTTCCTATGTGAGCTATATGCTATAGCCGGCTCGTTCCGACTTATCTACTTCCTGTAATAGAAAGACAACTTTTGGGAAAGATTCATGCAGATAGCTTTAAAACTGAAAGACTAGTTTGTGTGAAAACGGACGGACAGACGGACATCGCTAGATCGACTCGCCTAGTGATGTTGTTCAAGAATATATATACTTTATAGGGTCGGAAATGTCTCCTTCACTGCGTTGCATACATCTGACTAAAATTATAATACCCTCTGCAAGGCTATAAAATTATATATAGGTTTTGGCGGAACTTAAAATTGAAACACATTTTTATTGTTTTTCAATTTTTAAAATGTTTTGTTCCATTAACAGTTAGATAAAAAGCTTAAGGCGTTATATACAGTTAGAAGGCCGAAAAAGCGATTTATTGACAATTTGTTCTGAGAAAACTATTAAATTTAATTATCTGATATTTTGTGCACATATTATATTATTTTTTAACTGTATTTTAAGATTAACTATTGGAAAAAATATTTATTTGGCGTTTTGCAGTGACCACTATATCTTGGACTGGATCCTCTGAAATTAAAAAATCAAAGAGTTGTGGTGAAAGTATTGTCATATCCAGTAATTAATCGAAGGAATGGCGATTTCTCAAATTAAAAAAATTGATTTTTGAGCAACATTTCAGGCTTTAAATTGCTTATAAAAAAACTATTTATCATAATAAAAAAATTTTCGATTAATTACTAAAGAATAGATCTTAGAAGCTCGTGTTAAAATTGTAGACTAATCGACTTAGCCGTTTTCGAGTATTGTTGGTCACCGACTTTGAAAACACAATTTTGAGTAATCGCCTTTAAAGTTTGTACTTGTACTTGCAAGAACTCTAAAACGCCTTTTAAAATTTGTGTGTAACTTGGAAAATATTCACCGGAACGATATGAAATTTTTAGTGTGTATTTTTAAATATATGTACATTAAGAAAATAAAATAAAAAAAAAAATCTTTTTTTTTTAATTTTAACTGTATATAACACCTTAAATAAACGCAATTCGTGGAGGAACTTCCAAAGTAGTATTCCCATTTAACTAAATCAAAAACAGTAATTTTTGGAAAAAACAAGTATCCTCTTACCTGGTGACATGCCAACATTTTGAGTGTCTACAGTTACAGTAAATAAATTTCTGTTTAGTTGATGGGGTGAAGTGATCACTCCATTCCAGTGATATAAGGATGTCCTTCAAACGACTGAGGAGTTTCTCGTGGTAATGGTAATTGCTTAAATGAAATATACATATTTTTTATTAAGTCCGTTACTCGAAGAGTAAGTTGGGTTTTTTTTGTTTGATAAGTCTGCAGAACTCTAGAAAATATACATACACATAATTTGTCAATTTATAAGGCGGTATATGTGTATTTGGCCAAAATCTACCCACACTTCAAAAATCTTCCAATTCGAACTATTATTTAGAAATTTATTAGGAAAGTTTCAATTATGACGTCACTGCATATTTGAAAACGGAGCACATAAAATAAACATTTGAGAGAGCGAAATATCTGTTAGTGTTGTGCATGCAGTTCGGCAGATGGCGCCACACGATTCTTTTCTAGGAACATATTTATTTTAAAATTGATGAGCTGGGTAAAGGGTACTCTTTAATGGCTTGAAAACTAAACACCTTAATTGGAAAATCATAATTATTATATTTCATTAACGAGGCATTCGACTATACCGTTGTTTCTTGTTTTTTTTTTCTTTGCAGGCATGTCGCCGGAGGACGAGTGGTACAACAAGAGTTTGTCCGCCCTGCGGATGAACTCGTCGCATCATCCCAACCTGTCAGCCCCAATGCTGCAATACCAGACATAATCAAAAACCTTTGACGACTTCTTTTAAAAGATCGCACCTCAACCGCCTTAATCGCGGGCCGTTGATGTGCGCTGTTTTAAGGGAGAGTGCGTCAAAGTCAAACCTTATCCTGTAACATCCACAAGCTTCTCTGTCTATATCTATGCATATATCGCTGTATATATGTACATAGTATATATACGAGTGTGTGTCAGTCAGTCATTAGTCTCCGGTCTCCAGTCTCCAGTCGCCAGTCGTCAGCCCCAGGACGCGGGTGGTATCATCATCCCGTGATGATTCGGACTTGTCCGATTCGTTTTGAGTTGCGGAACCGAGTTTGAAATCGTTCATGGTCGCTTTCAGCTCTGGGCGGGATTTACTCATAAGACTTGTTGATATTATTATGTGGTTTTTTTCAATATATATATTTTTTTTGGACAAACAAGATCCAAATCGAATAAGAGGGGCAAGAGTCAGAGGTAAACAAATAGAGGAGAAAAATATTGTAATAGGCAACTAGTCATAGTATCTAAGCAAATTGTGTATTGAGATTTTATCGTGGCATTATAAAAAGTAAAATAAAAGAGCATAAATCGTGCATATATATATATATATATATATATATATATAAATCTAAATAAATACATATATACTAAAGTATGTACTAGCAATAGCATAAGTCAGGTTGCTTAGACCCGCCCCCAATCTGATCCGATCAGATATTCTTCTAGCCCCTAGCTCCCAGCTCCTAATTCCAAAATCCCGACCCAATGCAACTCTTTGGTTGCTTTGACCGACTTTTCATTGCCTGCTCACTACTCATTAAATATAGCTTACTCAAACATACGAAGTACATAAACTCCTCCACCCATCTGACCGTTCATAAAAAATCGGAATGCACAGAAATCCAGAGCAAGCATCATCCGCAAGCCAAACCCAAACGACTAAAACTACAAAACTTTCTAACTAATTCAAGGTGTGTCGAACTAATTATAAGATGATTTTTTTTAGCTAAGCAATGCATTAACGAGTTATATTTAATAATAATACTAAACAAAACAAAACAAAACAAAACAAAAAAAAAAAACAAAAACAAAAAAACCAAACTGAAACCAATAAAATACATCACCTATATATATTTAAATACGAAAAAAAAAACAACAAGCCAAATGAAAACTACAAGACGCATGTTTAACAAATTATGCCAGACACAGCAAGAATGGAAATAATAAAAATATTAAAAACAAGGTTGACAAGCATTTTATTATTGAAAAATAACAAGGGCTCTTCAGCTTTTTGTGTGTTCTCTAAGTGGAAAGCAAAAAAAATTCTTATATTTTTGAAATCTCAATACATAGAGTCGTCCGAACTTAATAAACTACCAAATTTTCTCCTCAAATCAAATAAAAATATTTATGTGTCATCATGCTTACAATGACACACTTGGCCAACGGGCCCGAGCTTTGCCCAAAAGTCTGTTTAATTAGTTGAGAAAATTAATAAAATAATTTTGGGGCCCTTTTTAATAAACATATAGCTAATGTATGCCAAAATTTCAAAGAATTTCATTGCTTGATCTTTTTTTGCATATTCTTAAAGATAAAATTGCATGCAAAATTAAATAAAAAGTAAAAAAATCAAGTGAAGTCATTTCAATGACCAAAATGATTAAAATATCAAGCAAAAAATATAATTAAGCCTGCTTTCTTACTTGTTTATAAAACATCGACAAAATCTTTAAAGAATCATGCATTTATTCGTTATGGGATACTTTGCTTTAGAATTAGTTTCGGGAACCTTTTGGAATTGAAAAGATTCCTTGAAAAATAAATTCTAAGATTACCTACGAAAATCACCCGCAGATATTGCGCGGTTTTGCTTTAGTTTTAAGAAGTTTTAGAAGCATTGAGAAGTTTGAGAAGTCTAGTGCAACTCACTGCAGCCCAAAAGTATGCTGCATTTCTTATATCTTCTTAAAACATTGATCCATACACTGAAGGGCACTTATGACGACATCATAAATCATTTGAAATATTTAAAAAATAGATACTTTTTTTTAAACATGATGCAGACGCTCAGATGAAACAAAAAATATATACATTTTATTGGGATCGATTTCTTTACTAATAGACACCAAAAAATGGCAGTTTTTAAATTTGATAAGCCTTTAGCCACTTAATACTTTTTAGTGGTTTGAGAAATTTTTGATTTGTTGTTAAATGTGTGTCAAAACGAATTGAAGCCGTTTCCTACTTTTTTCTTCTAAAAATTAAATATACTAAAATTATAAAAATTTTCCGACTTTGGTTTGGAATAACTATATCTTCTAAGAATCCTTAACGTTTTATTTTTAGTTTGTTGAAAAGTACAATCTTTTAAGAAGATAATCTGCTTTAGTTTAGCTTTCTAGCTGTACAGGGAAAAAGTGTCAGACTTTTGGCCTAAAAATTAGATTTCTGGCCCAATGTGTAATGGATATTTTGTTTTTAGATAACTATTTATCTCTAATCTATTATCGATAATCTATGTTAAGGGTTCATATAGCCTTTTTGTGTTGTGTAAAAAATATTATTTTGGTGTTTTGTTATGTCTAAGTACATGATTGCATTAAAAAATTTAATTTAAAGTTTCTTCTTCAATAATTTTTGAAAACTCTTGAACTAGGACAATTTAGGTCCCAAAAAAATGAAACGCATCCGGTGGACATCATAAAACAAATAAATATTTAAACAAGAAAGAAAGTAAACTTCGGCAAGCCGAAGCTTAAATACCCTTGCAGCTATTGCAAGAACTATATATTTTTTAAAACATTAAAATTATGATTTACTTGTTTATGTGTTTAAAAACATTGAAGCTATGATGATTCGCAACTCAATTATTAAATAGTTTTTTATATATTTTTATTATTTCTATGGAAGCTATATGATATAGTCGTCCGATTTTGATAAAATTTAAACCGTAATTCTAAAATATTTAACCATTACTATATGTCGAAGAACTAAAAAAAAATTAAAAAACAGCAAAGATATAATTTTTTTTGTATTTTTTTTCGATTGCTCCTATGGGACCTATATGATATAGTCGTCCGATTTTGATGAAACGTAAACCGTAATTCTGAAATATTTAACCATTACTATATGTCGAAGAACTAAAAAAAAAAATTAAAAAACAGCAAAGTATTATTTTTTTTTTTATTTTTTTTTTCGATTGTTCCTATGTGAGCTATATGCTATAGCCGGCTCGTTCCGACTTATCTACTTCCTGTAATAGAAAGACAACTTTTGGGAAAGATTCATGCAGATAGCTTTAAAACTGAAAGACTAGTTTGTGTGAAAACGGACGGACAGACGGACATCGCTAGATCGACTCGCCTAGTGATGTTGTTCAAGAATATATATACTTTATAGGGTCGGAAATGTCTCCTTCACTGCGTTGCATACATCTGACTAAAATTATAATACCCTCTGCAAGGCTATAAAATTATATATAGGTTTTGGCGGAACTTAAAATTGAAACACATTTTTATTGTTTTTCAATTTTTAAAATGTTTTGTTCCATTAACAGTTAGATAAAAAGCTTAAGGCGTTATATACAGTTAGAAGGCCGAAAAAGCGATTTATTGACAATTTGTTCTGAGAAAACTATTAAATTTAATTATCTGATATTTTGTGCACATATTATATTATTTTTTAACTGTATTTTAAGATTAACTATTGGAAAAAATATTTATTTGGCGTTTTGCAGTGACCACTATATCTTGGACTGGATCCTCTGAAATTAAAAAATCAAAGAGTTGTGGTGAAAGTATTGTCATATCCAGTAATTAATCGAAGGAATGGCGATTTCTCAAATTAAAAAAATTGATTTTTGAGCAACATTTCAGGCTTTAAATTGCTTATAAAAAAACTATTTATCATAATAAAAAAATTTTCGATTAATTACTAAAGAATAGATCTTAGAAGCTCGTGTTAAAATTGTAGACTAATCGACTTAGCCGTTTTCGAGTATTGTTGGTCACCGACTTTGAAAACACAATTTTGAGTAATCGCCTTTAAAGTTTGTACTTGTACTTGCAAGAACTCTAAAACGCCTTTTAAAATTTGTGTGTAACTTGGAAAATATTCACCGGAACGATATGAAATTTTTAGTGTGTATTTTTAAATATATGTACATTAAGAAAATAAAATAAAAAAAAAATCTTTTTTTTTTAATTTTAACTGTATATAACACCTTAAATAAACGCAATTCGTGGAGGAACTTCCAAAGTAGTATTCCCATTTAACTAATTCAAAAACAGTAATTTTTGGAAAAAACAAGTATCCTCTTACCTGGTGACATGCCAACATTTTGAGTGTCTACAGTTACAGTAAATAAATTTCTGTTTAGTTGATGGGGTGAAGTGATCACTCCATTCCAGTGATATAAGGATGTCCTTCAAACGACTGAGGAGTTTCTCGTGGCTGTGCGGAGGCGCCAGGGAGAGCCGCTGCGACGAGATGGTGCTGCCCTGCGAGCCGGTGGTGCTCAATGTCTATGACCTCTTCCACATCAACGCCTACACCATGACCCTGGGTCTGGGCTTCTTCCACTCGGGCGTCCAGATCTACGGCAGGGAGTACGCATTCGGCGGCCACGAGTTCCCGATGACCGGCATCTTCGAGATCGAGCCCCGCAACGGCCAGGCGGAGCTGGGCGAGCAGTTCCGCTTCCGCGAGAGCATTCTGCTGGGCTACACCCACTTCAGTCGCCGGGATGTGGAGCGCATCGTCGACCAGCTGGGCGTCCAGTTCCCAGGGGACAGCTACCACCTGACCAGCAGGAACTGCAACCACTTCTCCAACAGCCTGGTGCACATCGTCTGCGGCAGGAAAATACCCGGCTGGGTGAATCGACTGGCCCACTTGGTCACCTGTGTGCCGTTCCTCGAGCGCTGCCTGTTTCCCAGGCAGTAGCAGCATCGCCCTCATCACCACCAACAATCGCAGCAGCAGCAATAATCTAATATATTATACCTGTTGGCAGCATTTTATTTTGTTAGTATTTCATATTTTGCTTTCTTTGAGACGAAAAACTCAAGAACAAATCGTTTTCAATTAAATGTGTTTTAATCTGCAAATTTCCATCAATTTTCCGAGTTAAACCTACTTTTAACTTGGCGAGAGGTCGAGAAAACAAGCCTAAATCGAAAAGAACTTGCACTGAAATACTGAACTTTACGATTACGGCAGAACAAAGTCTTAAGACTAGACTATTTCAATTGAGAGCAATAATTACAAAGGTTTTTTGTTAACTGGTTCCCACTTAAATTTCGTACAAAAGGTTTTATCAATTTGCGTCTCGATGACATCTTTAAATAGCAAAATAAGAAGAGATAACTCTGTGAAAAAATAAAATACATTTGTTTTTAATTTTTAGAATAATCATTACACTGTTGTTGCTAATTAGTTGTCAATAGTTTTATAAGCCTGGATTGGAGACTAGTAGATTTCAAGGGTAAAAGAATATCAAGACAAGTCTTATCGTTATTATTTTTTTATTTAATAAATTGATTTACCAAACGCCCCAAAAAATATGATACATATTATCCGAAAACAAAGATAATCACCCAAGACTGAATGAAAACTAGTGATTTGTGAATTATATTTATGTTTATTGTTAACAACTCATTAGAAACAGGCTTTTGCCAAGCTGAATCCGATCCGAGATGTTCAAACTTCTTATTCAGACCACTTTTACTAAGAACAGGGAAATCGAGTTTCGTAGGCCAGTAGATACTTAAGATCCTAGGATTTAGTAAGATAGACGTAACCTGACACATTTTTCGTAGTATTATATATTTAATGGTTTCACTTAAACGAATAGCACTGCTTGTATACAATTGTTGCCAAGTGTACTCAGTTACATAAACATTAGCCTAACAAAATATGAACTTTCTGTTGCGTTCCACCAACTTTTCCTGTGCATCAGCTCCGATCAAATTTACGACGACGACTTTGCCTACAAGCCTAGCCCAAGTACTTTGTTTTAAATGCTAAATTATTTCACGATGAAAAAAAAAGACATTTAAGTTAATAATTTACACGCGTATAACTCATTTTTCTTAAAATTAACGTAATATTACATAGATGATCTGCACCAACGCTCTTCTTTTTCTACTGCTGTGTGCACTACTCATTAGTTTTGTGTGGTCTTAGGAAAGTATCTTACCCGTTAAACCCATTTAAAATCATCTCTGATACATATACATTTTGTTGTAAAAGATACATATTTCTTTCCTCTCCTTCTCATTTACCGAGCATCATACTCAAAGATTACGTGCATGCGTTGAAGAAACTATGCATGTACGATCCTCGCATGTCAAATCGATTTAGTGTTACTCAAAATACAAACAAACTAATTACTACAAGCCTAGGTAAAGCCGTGATGCTTTTTTAATAGTTAAATGCGTCCCAAATTTTATAGACAAATAAAAAAAAAGGAATACGGCTAACAACCTGGCGGCAGGTTGCAAAACCTCTGGACGTGGCGTACACATCTCCTGATCGCCGCCCTACATCAAGCTATGTTATGTACCGGTAGGTATGGTATGGTGGTATATATATTTATGCGTGTATATATATCGCGAGTGAACACGTCCCCCAGCGCGGCAAGGTCTCCTCACTTGCCCAGGAACTCTACGCCGACGCCGCCGGTGCCGCTCACTGCGACTTTCTTGGCTGCTGGCTGCTCGGCGATGGCCTGTAAATGGTGCGTAATGGAAGTTAATGGAGTTAATGGGACTATAAGATAGAAGGTAGAGTGCACCCACCAATACGGAGCTGTCCCGCTTTCTTGTGGGATTGACAGCCGTGCCGGCACCCGCAGCCACAGTTCCGGATGCGACGACCCCGCTGATCGCCGGATTGGACTTAAGCTCTTCGCTGCTGGCTTGAGATTTGGGTGCGGGCGCAGTAGCCGCAGCCGAAGCCGAAGCAGAAGCAGAAGCAGAACTTGCGCTGGACAGTGCGGATGAGCCGGTGGCTCCGGCCGGTCCACTGGTGACCACATCGCTGCTGGAGTTAGTGGCTGTGTCGGACTCGTCGGTAATGGTGATTGTAGCACTGCCACCGGTGGGCTTGTTGCTGCCAGCGGTGCCAAGAGACACATTGCTGGGTGCTGTACCTGTGCCTGTGCTGGAGCTCACGCTGGATGGCACGACGGGCGTGACATCTGTTGCCTCGCCAGCACCAGCCGCCGCCAGCTCTGGCTTTTTGGGGTTGGACGAGTCCTCCTTTTTGGACGGCGACTCCTGGTTGGGCTCTACGCCGTTGTTGCTGGTCTCGGTGGACTGCTTCCTGGCTGCCGTCGCAATCGTCGCGGATGCCGAATCGACAGCACCGGGTGCTGCTGATGGAGCTGCCGTTGCTGCGGTTGCTGCTGTTGTTGCTGATGCTGTTGCTGCTACTGCTGTTGCTGCGGATGCTGCCGATGCTGATGCTGCTGCATCAACGACTGGCTCGTTTTGGTCCTCCGCTCCCGACTCCTCGGACTTGCCAGCCTCGTACTCCTTTACGATCTGGTCGAGATTGTAGCGTCGCCGATTGTTCAAGTAGAAGGTACGCACATGCGCCTCCGTCTTGGTGGTCACCAGCTTGGCAATCATCTGCGAACAGAGTGGAAATTAGTATGTATTCTGCGTGTGATTTTGGGGCAAATGGCAATACTTACAGGAAAGTTCTTTCCGTATTCGCGAAGCGCCAGAAGGGCCACTTGAATCTCGTCCGGTGACCATCGGGCGGAAATGCGTGGCTGGGCAGTTTCGGTGTTGGCTGTCGCCGGTTTGGTTACCACTTCCTCCAAGTTGATGGAGTCGCACTCCTTGTCCAGCTGCTCCATCATCTGCCTATTCTTCTGTATCTGAAATGGGTCAGGGTGCAGGGGGGCATTCAATTGAAAGTTGTCAGTGGGTTCCAGCTCGTACCATCGGGTCTTATGTGTTGTGGGTGTGAGTGAGTGTGTGCGTGTGCGTGTGGTGGGTGATATCGTGCAGGGAATGAGTTCTGTGATGCCCTTGCTCGCCAGAATTGAAGTTCAACACTAAACTATCGTTATTGAATGGGCCCTAAACTAAATTATTTCGTTTGGTCTTGTTTCTACTCAGTTAAACTTCCACAACTCAAAAGGTCAGAATAGTTTCTAAAGGGTTCAAGGCATTTTTAACGTATTATTTGAATAAATTAGGATTTTATCAGATCTTTAATTTTGGCTAACTGTGGTCCTAATCCAAAGCAATATCTGATTGCAATAATCAGATTTCCAGGGTCCGTAACAGTAAAGAACAAGTCTGGAAAGTACCATCATAGCACTTCAAACACACATAAACATGTGGGTGCCCCAGAGTTTCGCTATTCAAGAACTCAGAAGGATCTTTCATCGTATGAATACTTGAACATTTTAATGATTTTTTGAATCGACAATAGACCTACATGATTTTCAACAATTTTAATATTTCTTTAAGAACTGATCAAACTTTCCTAAATCGAACAAACCGGATTATCAAGTTTTAGCCACATTAACGATTATAATGATACTATGCTGTGTTTATATGCTGTTTCCCAAGGAGAGTAGACGTTTTTGCATAAAAACTGTCTTTGTGACTTTGACTTTTTGACTAGAACGCTAGCATTGCATTGAACTATTGTCCCTAAGAAGTCGATTAAGCTCCCTGGGTTGGAAAGCAACTACCCAAACAACTAACAACCTAAGGCACCAATTATCGCACAAGGGCAAGAGATTCAAGGGATTCCGGACCGGTAACGTGTGTCTTACTTCGGCCATGAGTGCTGTTATCTTCCGATCCCGTTCCGCCAGATAGACACTGGGATTCTTGCAGCTCGCGAGGGCTGTCAGATCGTCATGGTTGATGTACATGCCCTTGGGCGGTTTGCGTTTGGAGCGATCGGCATTCGCGGCGCAGTTATGGGTGGATCGTCGGGGAGCATTGCTCTCCGGCCCGGAAATGGGTCGCCGATTGCCCGTGCGCCTTTTTTTTTTTGCGTGTGTGTGATTGGAAACGGGGACGGTACGGATCGGAACGGATCGGAACGACAAAAGTCAATTGAATGCAACATTTTCGAGTATTTTTCGGGGGGCAAGGCGAGAGAGGGAGGGAGGGAGGTAGGAAAGAGAGATAGAAAACTTGGCATTAGCTTGATGTCTTGGAGAATTTCCGGAAGCAAGTAGTAATAGTAGTAGTACCTCCAGTGAGTGTGACAACTCTTGCACATGCGCCCGAGCGGTGAGTCGTGCAGCACGTGGCACACCACGTTGCAAATCTTGCAAAAACCGCCCACAACCACTCGTCGCAGCAGGCTGGGATCGCCACCGATCTCGCCGTTGTTGTTGTTGTTGTTGCTGCCACCATTGGTGGCACCATCAGAAGACGAGAGGCCAAATCCTAGCACCTCGTCACCCTGGCCATTATTATTTGCCGCAAAGATGCCTAATTGCTCGGGATCCAGATCGTTGTTGCTGGTGTTGCTGCTGTTGCTTCCGCCTTGGTTGCTCCCTTGGTTGTTTTCATCCCCGTTGTTGTTGTTGTTGTTGTTGATACTATGGTTGTTGTTGTTGTTGTTGATGTTGCTACTATGATTGTTGTTGTTGTTGTTGTTGCTGTTGATGGTGTTGGCAGTTGCTGTGTTTACGGAAGAGGTGGTGTTGTTGGTTGTCGAGGTTGTGGTGGTGGCGTCGGTAATAGATGTGGTGCTATTGTTGCTATGCCCCTTCTGCCAAGCCAGGATATCATCCGCAAATGGATTCGAAGTGGCAAGTTGCAGCAACAATCGTAACGAATTCAATTCAATTTTTGCGAATGAGCACCGACCAACGTATTTGATTTTTTCGATTCGATTCAATTCGGTTCAGGTTTTTTTTTACATTTTGTTTGGGTTTGATTGGTTATTATTGGTTTGGTTTCGTTTGGTTTTGTATTCGGACAGTTTCAGGTCGGGTTGGTTATTTGTTTAATGGTGTGTTTTTTGATTGTTGGATTGGATTTTTGTACAGTAAATGCAAAGAGAAGAGAAAAAACGTATTTGGTTGTTGCTTTAGTTCA